ACACCTTAACTCTGAAAGTTTTATATACCCACGAATAATGTTTTTTAATTACAACAAAATAAATCGTTATTTTTGGTTTTAATATGTAATTTTGTTAAAATTTGAACTTAAAATGTCTGTAAAATAAAACTGTGTTTATATAATTTTTAGATTTTTTTGTTACAGTATAAACTATATGTATAAGAGAATCCTTGTTTAAATTCTCAATCCTTAGCTATACAAATCGAACATTTTATAATTTTTTAACTACAATAAATTTGAAAATTTGAAATTTAAATTTTTGTCTAAATTTTTACTTCACATTTTGCACTTGCACTTGCCATACCGAAAGAATAAGCAAATTACCTTGATGTAAAATGATTATTTAAGTAAAATCGAACGAGAATCGTTATACACTATACAATGTATTATGTCATAACTCATAATGATTTACCTTAGGTATTTAAGAGGGTAATAATATAGAATATACAGGTAGGTACGACTATTTTCTTATGATTTGATCGACTAACCATTATTAGTGGACGGGGGCGTCATTTTAAGGGGTTATGAATAGGCAAATATTTCAAAATTACCACTGAGTTTTTTCTAAGAAGTAGTGAAACTAGCTCAAATAATTGGTAGGGGGGGTGCTAGTCTCTCCAAACATTTTCCTAAAAAGTAACACGATGCGGATCTTTGTCTCATCCAGTATTTAATGCCTATTCAATAATAATTCTTAGTCTAGTTTCGTATTTATTTTATTAATACTAATGAACGTTTTCACGTCGTTTCAAGTTGTTTCAAATCTTATTTAACAAATTTAAATTCAAATGCATTATCATTTAATAAGTTTTTAAAAAGGTTAGGTTAGGTTAGGTTAGTTTAATCTTCCTATAAGATGATACAATTTTTTTTTTATTTGCATATTTTTACTTGCCTTTCATATCTTCAATTGTTTGTGAAAAAATAAAATAAGTAGTTACATACTTACATACAAATCGTAATAAAGTACGCAAAATTTGATATCAATTGTGAATGCCGGTTGATGATAATAATAGTTGATATTACTTATTAGAAATGAATAATAACAACATAATAGAATTTCCATGGAACGATAACGCGCAAACTAATATAGATTTATAACACGATTTATAATATTATACACTCACATAAATGCACTGCCCAATGCACCACCAATAACTCACAATAAATATAGCTCACTCACCCTAATATCGATTTACATACTTACACACATGCACGTTCCGAGCGAGGCCCATACAACATGTGAACTGAATTGCCTAAATTTTACTCCTTGATAAATGATCGGCACCGACAACCTTAACTAAATAATAAATATTAAATATGGACTGTAATAATAGAGTTATCCGCGTAGGTAAAATATATGATTACGATTACGTTCATTTTAGCCGTAAATTGATACCTCTATATTGTATAATAACAATGTGGAAGTCCAACTAGTATTGTATAATGTAATATTGTAATATATCATATGGATTTTACATTGGATATCAATAAATTTTTATTAATATTATTTAAGGCCCAAGATGCGAAATGACTCATTGTATGTTTCTCAGAGAGGCACTTGTGTTAAAAAAAAAATGTAAACTGAATTAAATAAAGTTCTTAGTGAATCCGTTAAAATTATTAATTTTATTAAATCTGGAGCATTAAATAGTAGATTGTTTTACAAAACTCATAATATTATCTTCACTATCTGAAATCAACTGGATAGTAGTAATAGTGTTTTTTTTCCTTTATTTTACTAAAAAAGAATTTGAAATAATTTTTATTTTGTAATTTTTTTATAAATATTATAAATTCATTGAATTTTCCTATACAAAACCCTTCTACAATTAGAGGTAGTTTGACTAAATTAATACTAAATATTAACTTTGTTTTTATATTTAAATTGGGCTTCCGCCCGTCTTATAAAAAATAATACTAATGGTCACTAATTATTGAAATATAAACAAAACGTTTTTGAATATTGGTTCGATTTGGCCTCCAAAATAGTTTGTTTTATAATTATGTGATATACCTACTGACTGTAATGAGAACAATGTGTTGAAAATATAGTAGTTGAAAATACCTACCAATGTTTAATCTATGGTATTACATATTTTAGTTTTTATTCAAATTAGATGTTTATATTTTGGATTTACTTCACCCCATAATGCAAAATAAGAAACAGTTATGAGGTAATCAATATCAACTAAAAATGATTTTGCTGCATTAAAATGTTGAAAGTTTGATCGCAATCTTATGACTATTAAATTCAGTACTTACAGCAACTTACTGCAACACACTTTAAGGTATATTACATTTACCATACTTGTAAAGCGACCTATGATTTAATACCTATTAATAAAAAAAATACCATAAATATTTAATTACTATTTTTGTCATTCCACTGCATTCATCAATTAAATGCAAGGATTTATGCAAAAATCATAGGAGGAAATCCATTGAAATTTCAGGAGTGGCCAACATTAATATGAGTGGGGGCTTCGATCTTACAAAACTAAAAAAGGAGGAACTTGACGGACTTTTGGGGGCTATCTGGTTATGTCATGTTGAACATTTTATACATTTTTAACTACAGAATAATTATTAAAAAAATGTGTGCCAATGTATTTTTAATATTTTTCAACCGATAATGTATCAATATACCAGGAGCCTTGTATTATATTTCTTCAGTTTTGACCCAACAAATAAAATTTTATTGACATTTATAGAAAAAAAAAATGTCAAATTTAAAGTATCTATAGTTATTCGTTTTTGAATAACAACAAAATAAGAAAATCTGTACATGAGAAATCAAGTGAATATTCAATATTGTAAAAATTTGAACTTCAAACTCTCATAACAATTTAATTTGGCTTTCCTGTAGACAATTTTTATTTAAAAATGGTAGACAAGCTTATGAGGAATTTTTATATTTAAATCAAATATATATGTTTATGTTTTATATAATATAGTTATGGAGCATATTATAATAATTTCTATAATTAACAATATTGTAATACTATCCTTATACATATTAGATTTTATAATAACTTATGAGATCACTAGTGCAGTTATAGGCAAGTTAAGAGCAATGGGAATCATATAGTGTATAGTTATAAAGTTAATAGTATAAACTGTATAAAAATAAGGCGATATTATAACTTTTGATTGTCGCTATAATTCTAATGGAGTGATAAATTTACTTGCAATGGTTCTGTTTGTAAATTGTAACACTATATGATAATCATAAAACAAACAAACATATAACAGCCAGATTAAAAAAAAGAACAATTTCATGAATAATATATAGGTAGACTACATAAAATAACATATTTTTCATTAGGAGTAAATTAAAACTAAAATATAACTGTTTAAAAAAAATAATACAAATCTAAATACTTTTTAACAATAATACTTTTTCTTTTTATAGTGTATTTTTAAATTAAAACATGCTAAATAATGTATATATTTTTAATTAACTACACTATTTTTTTTTTCATTTAGAATAATATTATTTAATATTATTTCTAATTGTAATTATTTTAAACATTTTTATTAATACATATTCAATTTGTCGATTACGTAGATATGATTTCAATACAAGGAGTATTTTTATTTTTCTATTAACTCTCTAATTTAGTTATTTGTATATAAATTAAACAATAATCATAAAATATAACTATTTATGATTTTTGATATAAATATGTTTTGGGCAGGCTACACATTTTTTTCTGACCAATTTTTGTAACGTTTATAACATTTATTATTGTTACCATGGTTATTGTGATAATATTGATATCAATATACAACTAGGTATGTTGTCAAATGTTTACATAATAATATGAAAAAAGTCAGTTTGTAAGTTGTATTTTCAAAAAATAATTCATAGACAAAGTTCAGTACCTCCCTCACCCTAAAAAAAAACAAATTTATGTTTTATAGATTTTCCTTGCAGGTAAAAATATCAAGTAGGGTACTACATTTTTTTTTAATTTGCTTTACTTATAGTTTGATTAAAAATTCAATACTATTATTATGTAATGTTTGAATTATTATTATATATTATATATATTTTTGTTTTTGGCAAAATATGATTTGTTAAGTGGTTAATATTATAATTATATGTTTATTAATGACAAAATATTATCTGATAGTTTATTTTTATAAAAAATAAATCAGAAGATTTAGCTGTAACAGGAATATTTTGTGCAATTTTAAATATACAGAGGAACCCTGATATTTTGTAAACATGAAATAATTCTATGTTAATATTTAAAAGTATATGATGATAAACTTAATTAAAATAGGAATGCAACCATTTTTAAATATTTATCCTGTAATGATAATATGTCATGTTTCTATAATAAATAAATTAGAATAGTCATATTTAAATACTTTTGTAACCAAAGTTAAATTACTTCAAAACAGCTCAAACTATGAAAATATTTATTCTAATTAATTGTTGTTGTATAAAAACCTATCTAATGTTTCATAAATTGTTTCTAATGTGATGTTATTTTTAATACTGATTAGATGAAAATCAATAATTTGATTTTCTAATGTGTAAACAATACTTTTAACCAATCCAATTACATTTAAACGAAGTATTTGTTTTAAATCATTAAGCCATAAGATTAAACTTAGGTCAGCATTTAATTATTGAATGTTTAATATTTTTGGTGACAAATCCAACATGATTTATTGATATTATGGAGTTAAGCATTATAGATTTCATATCTAATACAAAAAACTCCTTCACTTAAACTAAATGTTTTACTTGCAGTGAACTCATAGTTTTAATATTTAAATTACAGGTTTTCATAAAAATTAAAAATTTAGTATTTTATTAATGCACATTCCCCCTAAAAATATAAAATAAATTAAAAATGCAACATATTTAGGAAAAAAAATTTGTCACAGCCATGCTTTTTTCCCAACATTATCTTAAATATATTTTACTAAATTTATATTCAATACTCATAGTGTCTTAAAACTTAATTGTGCGATGCACGAGCACCATTCATATAACCAATCCATCTTTGGGCTGTAGTTTGTATAACTGTTGCGTTGTCCAGCGTTGCTAACAACAATAGTTGGTTGATATGTGTAGCGTGATAATCCCATCGAGCAATATTTGGTGCTATATCAAGTGTTACATGTCTGAGATCATAGGCTGATCTTGAACCCATGTCAAACAATGGTAATAGATTTTTCAATGATGCCATACCTTGTTTCCACAATGAATGAGCTTCTTGCGAAACCTAAAATTATTGTGTTTTATGAAATATAGAATTATAAAATGTACACATTTTAAATTACCTCTGAACCATTGGGAGCTAATGAAAACAAATCATATAATCCAATCAAGGAGTACATAAAACCGTTTAAGATGAATATTGGTGGAACTGTAGGATATTCATCATACCATGGGTGTAAATTCATAAATTCAGACAAAACGCCACCATTTTTAGTTGGAATTTTAAAGGGCTTTAGAGCAGTATGAGCTGTTTTTAAATACATTTCATTGCCACCAGAATGGAAAAATGCCCTGGAGAGCAATGATATTGCTTGGCCCTGACCCATAGCAGATAACCTATAAGAAATTATTAATAATATTAATTTTTCAATTACTGTGCAAATATTGACAGCTTACAAAGTATAAAACATTTTTTAAATTATAATGTGCTAGTGCCTGTGTAAAACTTAGGTTTTACAATAAAATTGTCATCAATATTTATATAATAAAAAAATAATACAGGTGTAAAAGAAAGAATTGACAGATATGATAAACAAACTATGTAATAACTTTTTTTCTAATCAATTTTTAAAATTTATATTTAATTTATATTATTATGATTATATTAATTATCAGTGGTTGGGAGTAGCACGCTTCATTATTTGTAGCAATTGACAAAGCTTTGCTACAATACTTATCTAATGTAGGGAAATACTTTAGCATGATAGAAGTTTTCGGTTAGCGTAGCATATTACCATTATTTTGTCGCTACCTTCAACCTATTTGGTGTACAATAAAATACCAATTTTCAATTCGAACATTTAAAAAAAATGTAGTGTAAAAGTAGTGAAAGCGAGCTACTTTTATTGAGGAAGTAGCTGTAGAGTTTGTGCTCTTTAAAAAACTAGACCACAGTTAAATTAATATATTAATATATTAAATATATATATATGTTACCGTAAAAGCCCGATTACTAGGTAAAGCTAGGTTTTACTAGTTAATGCTAGGATTTACTGTTTGTACTCAACAAATGCTAAAAATAATAATTTTATTCGGGCTTTTATTAAACAAGTTGTGTATATCCAAGGATGTACACATTGAGTTAGTAAAAGCTGATTACTGTTACATAGTATATTTCAGTATATTTAGTACACTTCTTGAAATTATGTAATAGTAAGTGCCATAATTGTACATTGTGTACAATTAAATACTTTGTTTTTTACAAAGAATGAAAACAATTTTTTTTGTTTAAAATCAGTAATTTGTTTTCATAGTATATAATTGATAATTATTATTTTTATTTGCGTTAATCATAGCTTTTACTAACTCAATTTGTACATACTATGATATACACAAGGTGTTTAGTAAAAGCCTGAATAAAATTATGATTTTAAGCATTTACTGAGTACAAACAGTATATCCTAGCTTTACCTATACTCTGTTCGGTAAGATAATGCAAATTGCTTGCGCATCTAAATGAACGTGCTCATCAACGAAGTTTAGTGATGATGGCTGTGTTTGGCAGGTGGTGCTCGCACTGGTAAAGTGGTGGGAATGCGCAGCAATAGATAAGTTTTGGTCGGCATCTTCCTGCATTCTTTAGCCAAACCGAGTTTAGTAAACGGGCTTTTTATATACATACATACATACATATATATATATATATTACATAGTTAATATAATTTGTCTGTTATGGCTGTTGCACTCTGATTCCATATACATTTATTTTATGATAAGCAACACTTTAGTAAACTTACCATCCTGGCTTCAATGGTTTGATGACAGGAGATATTTTACGAGTAACGGGATTAATCCAACCTCCAGACTCTTTATCTTGATGTTTATTGAACCAATGTGCTGCAGCATAAAATTGACTAATATGATCACTAGAACTAAGTGTTAGGTTGTCCAAGAATCCAACTCCATACAGTTTAAAATCACATAACTAAATAAAATCATAATTAAAAATTCAATCCATGATTAGTATTAAATTCTTCTCATTAAAAAATATGTATTTTGATAATAAAAGAAAACTACACTACCTTATATTTTGAACGAAACATTTTTGCTGTTGTTTTTTTTAATACATGTAAGCCCTTTTGTAAGTCAACTAATACATTTCTAGTCAATTTTTTCCAACCAAATTCTCTACCACAATGCATTCCATGATAAATATTATGACCCTATTAAAAAAAAATAACAATAAATAATTATTATTTAGGTTCTACAATAAATGTTATATCTTGGCATAATTTATCATAAATTCACATTTATAATCTATGTTCGAACTATTATAACTGCATACCTATAAAATAAATACAATTAGAACAAATAAAAATATATAGAGTAAATGGGATGTAGTGCTAAAAGCTAAATATTAAAGGGCAACATTTGTTTTCACAACGGCTGGATGGCATGGGCTTTATTATTATTAGTATCTGTTGTTATTCCGATTTCTGTAATAGCGGTTTTTCGTTAAATGTTGTTTGATTTTGATTATTACCATAATGAATCAGATACTATGTAATCTCATTGAGTGCGATTTATTTTTTGGGGATTTCTTAAGTCAAAAGTGTACGTAAGTAAATCTTGAAGAATACCAGAGTTCAAGAGAGATTAAAATAGTCCTTAAGAGGACGTTACACGGACATTTGTTGTCTTCGTCTTACAAGTGAGTAAATTAGCATATTTTACGCTCAGCAGATTACGTTTAGCACAGTTAGCTTAAAAATTAGAGTGAATGGTCATCTTATAGGCTTTTTATTATATTTTAATTTTAAAACAAGTTATGAGTATTTTAAAATATTCATAACTCGCTTTAATATTAAGATATAATAAAAAGCCTATGAGATGCCTTAGAATCTAGATCAGCGGTTTCTAAAGTGTGCGCCCCAGTGTCTGGGCGTGCCACAAATTACGATGTCTTTACAGGGGCGCCTCTAAGCCGAAGAATTTTATATAATCGAAAAATAAATTTGAAAATCCAACCATGGCAAAATAATTACGATTATGTAAATACAAATGTATAAATTATATATAATTTAAATTAAATAAATATTTTCATACTATTCATAACAATCTTTACAGGTTTTTACTTTTTACTTTAATTTTTCTATTTTTTATGAAAACCTTGGTTCAAATAGGACGCCGCGAAACAAAAAAGTTTGGGAACCAATGATCTAGATAATAATCTTAGCTTTAAATTTGATATGAGGTCAATTCATTCTAAACTAACGAAACTAAGCACGATCTGCTGAGAGTAAAATTTTCTATATTATGCACTTATAAGGCAGAAACAACAAATGTCCGTTTAACGTCTTCTTAATGATATGCAATATAACTTTTGAAAATAAAAAACATCCAAATATGCAACAAAATGCAAAATAAAAGTCTCACTGTTGAAGTATCTGTTTTATGAAATAAATAATTTACATGGAAAGTATTGTCTAAGATCACCCAAAAAAAGATACACTTAGCATTGAAACCCGGGCCATACATATTACGAAAAAACATACATAATATTATATAATCTATTGATATTTTTAATTTTTAGTCAGTGACTTTGACAGGGATATATTGATATTATTGTTATTCATAATATTGAATTTTTATACACAAAAATACATGATTGCGCATACAAGCGCTACAAGGCTTATTGATGTTTAGATACATAAATTGCATTTGATATAAGTTCATAATGAAGGGTTTTTAGAATCGAGGTTCTACTATAAAAAAAACAGTATGTGTCTTATTGAGTTTTCTAATTCAGAGCTATATATCGGATACCCTATAATATTATAACTGTAAATTAAATATTATTTTTTTTTGATAATAATTATGAATTAGAATGCTTTGCGAGGAAATATTTCAATATGTCATAATATTAACATGAATAGATTTTATTTTATAGACATAAAATTATTAATTTTACCTTTGCAAATATAAACGTTTTAGAACATATGTAATGCAGATTCCATACTTCATGATCCTTTATTTCTTTTATACTAATAACAATGCTACTACTTGTTGATAAAGACAAAGCAACATCAAAACTAATGAAAAAATCTTCTTTGCTATCAATTTTTAACGAAATTGGTTTATCTAAATAAAATAATTTTAATGGTTTATTAGTAGGTATATTAAGTTGTTTGAATTAACAAAGTATGTTATTAATTTATAACATAAGTTACATTAATAAAATATACCTGTACTGAAAAAATCGATAACATTACTATTGACTTGAGCATTGAATGCTATTTGTATTTTTGAAGTTTTTGGAACATTCCATAGAGGATTTAACTGACCATTTTCTAAGACCCTTACTTTTGGTGATGGTAAAGTAAGATTTTTACTATAATGAGATAACCCAAATTGAGCTATTTGTGTTGGATAATAATAACCATGAGGATTCCACTGAGTTGATACTGGGACTCCTATGATTATTAAATATAATATTATTATTTTTTCCAAATTTCAAATACTTAAATACTTATTTTATATATGATTGATTGTAACTTAAAACTTGCCTTCAGAAGCACTAACACACTTTACACGATCTCTTTCTTCAACTTTATAATTTTGGAAATTTGTGAACACACCTCTAGAGTCATATTTTCCATTTTGATGGTATATTTTGGAATAGCTATGTGACCAATGGAATTTTTTTTTGTTTTCATCAGTTTCAATAATTTTTCCATAAACCTTAACAGAAAATAAAATAAATTTTGTTTGAGGTAGTAAAAGGGTAAATAAAAACTGTTTAGTTTTTATTTACAATTTTAATAAACAAATCGATAGACTTAAATGTTTTGTGCAGATTACTTTCAATTAGTACATGATATAATAACATAAATAGTCAAATACATTCATGCAAATGACAGAAAATAATATTAAAGAAGTACAAACCTCAAAATAGTTTTTTAGAAATGAAAATGGAATATATACTGTGTTGTTTTTTATAAGGCAATCCACATGAACATTATTTCCATTAATGAGACAGTCTATTGGTTTTATATTTTGAACTAATGACTGAAAAAAAATGTAAGTACAATAGATAGTAAGATTTATTTTTAAAATTTAAATCAAATTTTACTAATTTATATAGCATTTAAATACTGTATATTACGATTTACAATATCCTAGTTGAAACCATCTATTATACATTATTAATCATTAAATAATGCATTTCGGCATATTATAATATAGAGATAGCCCATCCTTGTATTAAATTTTCAAGTGTTTTGACTAATAATAATCAAAAATTTCATATGCCTATAAATAGATCAACAAGAGTCAAAATATTTTGGAATTTAATGGTGTGTAGAAAATGCTAATATAAACATTCAGTGATATTTATCATGTATCCATGGTATTTTTTTTAGAGTTACACCAAAAACCAGTCGGTGAAAAACCAATTTTGCATAAAATTTCTTGTTTTTACCGTCACTTTTGGAAACTATTAAGAACTTTAAATTTTGACCTAACTAAACTAAACTAGATTCACTTTCTAATCGGAAAAAAGACTGAGGTTGAAAATCAAAGCATTATTTTAACTACTTATCGTATACACATCAAAAAAAAAAACATACATCATTGTAAAATTAATATTAAATTATAAGTGGGAAATCGATTAAAAAAAAAACAAATATTTTTGATACACTTGATACTGATTATATTATTAATGGTATTTTATTTAATAAATATTATAGTAATTTGTTACTTACTTCATAATTGGGTTTAATATTCTTTGAAAATGTATCAAATGTTTGATTTGAGCAATTGGACCATAGTGACAATATGCATACTATAATTAAAGAAGAAAGAACTAAAAAGAGAGTTCTTATGTTTAATCTCATACTGGTTTAATGATCATTTGAAAAATTGAATGATGAATAACTGCAAAAAACAATCAAATTAAATAATAACCTCATAAAATTGTTAGTTTGAAAATATTATCTAACTGTATTGCAATCTTTAAGTTATAGATAAGTACATTATATTTTGCAATTTAATGGCTATTTTAGTATTAATCATCTCAATTATTAATTGTGTAAATTATTCAGTAGGCCAGTATAAAAATTGATTGGATATAAAAAAAAAATTGCACATTCATTAAAATAGTATGATGTAAAGATGTTGTTTTATAGATAGGTACTTATAGAATTATATTTTATAGGTATCTAATTGAGTTATCTTATTTTTCTATGAATAATTAACTGATAATTTTATCCAATATATTTAAAACTGCAGTACTGAATATACAATCTAAATTGGTTATAATTATAAATAAATTGTTAGGTACTTATACACTATAAACTTTATACATTCATTAAAATATTAAAAGATAAATGAGTAAGTAGGTATTAACTGTCTCTTGATAGTTAATCTTAAGAAAGAAAACTCTAAAAGCGTATGAGTTTCAAACCATTAGCTTATTATATAATACTAAGTCTAAACTACAGTGGCATTTGTGTAATTAATATAGTTATGTAATAAATAAAAACTTAGCCAAAAATATCCCTATTCCCGGGTGGAATGAATTTATGGGTGTTTGAAAGAAACTTAAATACAATGGCATCTGAGCATTTGAAAGGAGAAAATTTACCCCTGTCTGATTGTAAAAGCAGTCAAATTGTTGGTGAAATAACATAACTATAATTTAGGTAATTTTGAAGAAATATAATATTGTTTAAGTACTAGAAAACTATTCTCACGTTCACAATTAATATTTACAGTTTCTTAGTTTAAATAATTAGATGCTGACACTATGCCTAAAAGACATTCTAAAAACTAAACAACATCACTCTTGAATTTATCTGTGGTTTTGAAAAGTCCTCTATTATAGAAGGTATCAATTTAAAATTTATCAAATACGTTTTAGCTGTCGTGTTTCATATAGTAATTTAATTTGTTCGACATCTCTAGAAAAATATAAAATTTCCTCACTGAGGTAGGTAGATATCATAATTATTCGAAATTATTTAGCTCCTCCACATCTTTTTTGCTTTAAATTGTCTCAGGCGGCTATGAAGTTATAAAATATGGAAATAAATGTATCGAGATAAAAATGTAAGTAGAAATTAGTTTGCAAGAGAAGATATTTGTTTCTTTTTTTGGTTCAGGTTTTTTGGTCAAACATTTGCCCATTCCAATTAAAAACTGAAATGCTGCCACTGCTTAAATATTATTCAAGAAGAGTTGATGAACCTCGCAATGATAATTCTACATAAGTTATGAATCATATTACAAAGATCTGATTGTAGGCACTTATTTAGCCCAATCACGGTGGTCATACATAAATGGTTTTTAAAATTCCCAAAGTATGGGTAGGCTAGGTGAGGACAAATGCTATGGTATACCTAAATGTGTAAATGTGTAGCTTACAAAGTCCGTTGTACCTGTATCATTGGAGCCAGATGATGTCCGGTTGGGCGGAATATGGAGACGGTCCGATCATTTTACACAGCCGTCGGCGGATGATGATTGTTATTTCTGCGACAATTGTTCCACGACAAAACGCAGTCCATCGTCCAGACACCAGTCGTCTAGCACCGGGTCCAATCGTTATGATGAAAATTTAAAAAAAAATCTCGACAGTGCCTACTGCCCAGCAACCTGTACTTAAGTACTCCTCACTAATATTTATCACGTCGGCCGAGAGGATCGACTACGACGATTGCTTTTTTAATATTATTTCAGCCCGACCATAACGGAAAATTGCGAAGACAATGATGGCTAATGTTGTTACTTACTTACTTGTTACTATGTGTATAATACTGTAATTTTATGAATAACAATAATTATTTCGTGTCGGTGCGCTTTTACTCATAAGTGATAACTGATAACGAGACTGGATTTTGATAACCGTAAAAATTGTTACAGTGTGTTCCTGGGGGGAGGGCACAGCTGTAGTGTTACATGACAAATTTGTCATGTAGTGTTATTAGTTACCTATTGGCTATTACTATATATTATAGAAGTAGTGTTATTTTATTTTGATGCGAATAGACCCGGCACAACGGTTCTTAGAAGATGGGAATGTGCTCTGCTCGACACAGAAAAATATAGTAAAGTTGTATTTGTATAGAGTATAGACAATTATTATTATTATGATTATTAAAAAAAATATTATTTTAGACAATCCTGGTCTTTTGATAATAATATTATGGGACTTCAAGACGTAATATAGTATGCTATCTCTTTCTAACAATTTTGGCGGGGGCCTCTCTCACAGCAGCTATCAGACCATTTCTTTAATTATCTTTATTACGTTTAAATCATAATATTGACAATATTGTACATAATATTATTTTGTACGCCACATTGATATAACAATAATATTATTATTGTTATATTCCGTGGTAATACTATTTTGGTGCATATTATTTTATATTATTATCAATGCAAAGTGCTGCAATCACAGATATATAAGTAACTATAATATAATTATATTATAAAGTGTATCTGTGGCTGCAATTCATTTTTATGCTCATATTATAAAAGTGGATAGTGGTTTCCGAGTCTGCCTTGTAAATGACTATAAATCATAGTCTGTACAATTATTAAGCATCCAAGATGCATCATCTGCTTTCAGATCTTTAAAACGTAAGGTGAGTATCAACTATCGACCTTTCTGTGTTGTTTTTTGTTTATTATTTAGGTACTTTGTTTTTATTTTGTATGGTGCTATGTCCGGGAGGGAGTACCTAGGTATAAAAAGTAGGTACTATAAATATTATTAATTATGCCGATTGACTTAACATTATTATTATTGATTATTTTGAATATAGGTACCTAATGTACCTAACACAATTTTTAATTTTACAAAGCTTTGTCACATAGCTTTACCATGGTTAGACCCAGAGCCGTATTCAAGGGGGGGGGGGCAACGGAGACATTTGCCCTGGGCGGCCAAATTTCGACACATGTGGGGGGCGGCCATATTATATAAATAACATTTTTTTTTTTTTTGGTTAGAAGTTGTTGTTTGAGTTCCTATACTTACTTGGACTTTTTGCATTGCATGACTATGATACGGCCATTTGGCGTAATTTACTCATTTTGCCAATCGATGATAACTATTAATTTTTGTATTTTTTTTATAAATTACATTTGTATGTTGTCATACGTTTTGACATTAAGGGGCCTGCACGTGACCTGTTTTTTTGCTCAAAAACATGCCTTACAGGAAAAACTCTCACCCCTCGTAGATTGGTCCGATTTCTGTAATTTTTTTTTTGTTAGATAGAGGAAGACTTCTTACAGGGCGCATTGGACTTGGATTTTCAACATTATTTTTCTAAATCTTATGTTACAAGTTTGAATTTAATCAATTTTTACAACTTTTTAGTTTTTGTATTATTTTTTGTTTTTAGCGACGTAATCAAAAATCGAAGTCCAATGCGCCCTGTAAAAAATATTCCTCTATCTAACAAAAAAAAAATTACGGAAATCGGACCAATCTACGAGGTGTGAGAGTTTTTCCTGTAAACTGTGTTTTGACCGATATAATACACCCTATCAACCCCCCCCCTAAATAGGTATTGGGTAGTAGATTAGTGGAAAAGTCTTATAATTGAGGTGGCAACTAAAATATAAAATTTAATTTTCAAATTTTATAGAATTGCGGAAAATTTGAAAAATCGCGAGCAGGCCCCTTAATTAAAACAATGTATCATCATGATCTGTGTTCTTAAGAAAATTTTCATAAGGAACTACAACTAAACAATTAAAAAGTGGGTAGTGGATGTCGCTCTGCTGTACAGTAGGTTACAAGTGGGTCACTGTAATGGATGGTGTTAAATTTGAATTCAATGATCCAATATTGTAAATATATGAATTTAAAACGCTCATAAAAATTTAATTTGATTTGCTTGTAGACATTTTTTTTGATATAAGTAGAAAAACTTATGAATAATCTTCCTAATAATTTTCCTTAATTTTTATGTTGTTTTTCCTTTGAAAACTACATTGAATTTTGACCTCCCCAATGCACCAACAAATTTGACTTTCCCATCGAACAAGATACTGAAGTTTAAAATCAAAGGATTATTTACACTACTTATCGTTTACACTTACACTAAAATAAATACATTCATCGTTTCACTCAGAATCTAAAACTAAAAAAACACACATCATTGTAAAATCAATACATTCGTCGTTCCAATCAGAATCTAAAAGGGATTTTTTTTTTTTTTTGGGGAGGGGGGTACAATAATTGTTGGCCCAGGGCGCAAAAAGTGTAAATACGGCCCTGGTTAGACCATCATTATAGGTATATAGGTATCAAACATTTAACATAACATTTCATGAGTTTAATAATATCAATGCTCATGCATCTGTATAATAATTATTGTTAGACAATCATTTGGACAAATCGCTTACCGTTATGAAAAATTGCTATTTGAACAAATTTTAATAAAAGTAATTCATTATTTTTCATAGACTGTTCAAACCCAAAATAATTGGTTTTACATTAAAAATAATAATCACACTTAATTGTAATAAGTTATATTTAGGTACTGTGCTAATTACTAATTTATGTTATTGATATAATTTTATAGTTTTGGTTTAAGATCAAGAAGCTCAAGATGATTTTATCATGGTTAAATCATCATATTCTTATTATTTACTTAGGTCTTAGACTGAAATATATTAATTTGCTTTAATTTTATTTCCAGATGATATTGATTCATGTTCCAAGTTAAGAAATATTTGAAGCCACAATTTTGAAAAGATACTTTGACAACTGAATTATCGATTTGGCAGTAACATGAAAACATTTAGCAAATGATTTTGTTACAAATTGTGGTATGAATATATGATTAATCATCTTGTCACATAGTCACCTGGTCTTTCCATTAATCAAACCATTGTCCACACTAGGTGATTACTATTGCATACAATGTGAATAATATTATAGTTAGGCATATGTTTAAGCTATTTATAACAATTTTTGTATTATAATTTAAAAATTAAAAATTAATTGAGTAGGCAGTAGCACTAGTAGTTACTTAATAAATACAATGTATAAAATGAGTTGCCGACCCTTAACAACAAGTAAGCTATATTTAGTTTTTTAAGTATCTGAAGATCAAGGCTTGGAACTTTATGCGCTAAAAAACAATGAAATATGTGCATATGTATGCACTAAAAAACACAAATATTCAGTATAATATGCATATATTATTTTATTAAAAAGATATATTTTAAAGTATAATTATAAAAAAAAATTATTTTTGAATCATAAATATTTTATTGATATTTTTCTTTTGATGATTTGAAGCTGTTATAGTGAATCTATTCCCAGAACCCTAAATTTAAAAAAAATAGAATTTATAAAATACCTACATCAGTTATTAAAAAATGTTAGGTATTAATTGTTATATTTACCTGAATTACACTGAATGATAAGATGCTTTTTATATTTTCGAGTTTAAATGATCGTCTGTTGTGGCTCAGAAGGTTTTTGTAAACAGAAAATGATCTTTCGACATCCACGGACTTAATTACTTGTAGAAAATAAGGTCATTTGTTGTCAGATCTTCGGGAGGACCATCCATGGTGGAGATAGATCCACTAAGTATTGACAAGATTTGTTTTAGTATTTTTAAACCGATATTTTTAGATAAAACGTTTCCATTTTTTTGTTGATTTTTTTCTTCGGTTCAGCTTGAACGGATTTTAATTGTGTTTGAACATAGTCCACAGCACTAAAAAATTTGGCTAAAGACATGTTTTTAGTCTGCAGTTTTAAAATTGATTCAGAAAGAACTTTAAAATTTGAAGTAATACCTATATACTAAATTATTTTGAACGTGTTCTTTTTCTAAATTTTTTTTTTGAAACTTATACTTGATGCATCATTGGAGTCCAATATATTTACAGCATCATGATTTTTTTCATAGTTTTTACAATAATAAAGTACAGGGTTTATCCAAGTACTCCAACAGGTTATGATTGGTACTGAAGGTAAACGTATCTCTAGTGCGTAATTTTTGAAAATGTTATTGTTTATTTCTAATACGTTTTTAACATAAAATGCATTTATATACTCAAAATCTTTAAATATGCAAAATCATATCCATTTAATAAAATATGCAAAAATATGCATATCAATTTTTGTATTTCATAGCATGGTTCTTGAAACGAATTTGTATCGAATCAGATTTTAAATATGCACCTTCCTGAGAAAGATACAAATGCATAAAGTTCCAAGCCCTGCTGATGATCAACTACTATTTGTGTAGGTATATAATTTATATTATTACATGGAGTATAATAAAAAATTGTATAATAATATTCTTCCTTTATTATTAATTCTCCATTGGAAAATACTTTATTTGTATATAAAGCATGTAAGTGTGTTTAAGTTTGTAAGTATTTCAAAATTGTAAATTGTTTGTACTTAAAATACTCATAGCTAGCTTTGAAATTAAAATATAATTAAAAGCTTATGACATTCCATAGATAATAATCTTATCTTTAAATTTTATAAGAGAGTAAATTCACTGTAATTTTTAAACTTACGGAGCTAAATGTGATCTGCTGAGCTTAAAATTTGGTATGTTACTCAATTGTAAAACATAGATAACAAATGTCGGTGCAACGTTTTCTTAATGATAAAATATAAACAATGGTACAATAATTTAAAAAAATAATAATTTAGTTGTTTCCTGGTACTTGTACATAGATTAAAGAAGTTTTAAATATGTATTGGCCGTCCTTTAATATTTTACTTTTAGAATTAGAACAATTTCTTAATCAACTAAAGATATATTATAATCTATATATATATATTATTTAATCATCATGTCTGGGTTACTAAACCGGGCTGTTTATTGTCCTCGTTAATAGAAAAAAAAATTCTCCTAAATACACTTGTAAAAATGAATTGTTCACATTTTTTACTTTATAAATCTTTTAAATAATGATATGTAGAATCCTACAATTTTAGACACTAATACTTAACTTTTGGACTAAAAAAAAAATCTTTTTTTATAAGATTACCTAATATGCCTCAATTATTAAATTAATAATATAATTAACAATACCTAATATTTATATATAAATAAACTTGTTTTGTTTCCTGTGGCTTTTCTCCAGACATACTTTACTGTGCTATAATGTAAATTGTATTGAATGTCCAGTTTAAAGTACAATATGTAAAGTGTGTCCTTCTTAATATTTTTTTCCTGCTCAACATTATGTTTTTTATTAACCTTACTCCAACACTTAATTATGACATTCTGTTAAACATTATTTTTAACCTTTTATGTCCAATAAATTATCATTTAACTTTTTATTTATCCAATATTGATATTATAACTTAAATGAAAATATAGGGTTTATGTGTTCGTAAAATGATTTAATATTAGGATTAATATAATTATAATTATTTACATTTTTAAGGAAATCTAACAGTTGGCTAGGGACCGAATTTGATTGATTTTCAATATGGATGGAAACCAGGAAAATGCCAATAAAGTAATTATAAATTAATTAATATAACCTTTATGCTAATTAATAATAGGTAATAATTAATATTACCTATACTTTACAAAATAATGTTAAATATATTAATTAAGTCTTCATTGTTATTATTTATTAATTTATTATATTTACAGCTATTTAACATAAATAATAATTTCTATTATACCGCAAAGGTGTAAAAACAATATATTTTTATTATTTATCCTAATAATATGTCTTAAACATACATATCCAATTTATTAAACATTCTACATTATATTTAAAATTATTAAATAAAACAATTGATTAGTTTACAAGATAACACTTGTACTTTCTACAATGTTTTTTATATAATTATACAATTACAACATAATATTTTCATTTTATTCGATTAAAACTTACCTAACTTACCTATTGGTATTTAATTTATTAAAAAGTAATTTACCAACATTTTATTTTTTCAGAAAGCACTTCAATTAATTAGACATTTGGAGTTTTTGCAGTATTCTTTTTTTGACGGTCGGCCAGAATGGACAACCATAAAAAAGGATGATTTAAAATTGTTTATGGCATACACATATTATGACTATCCATTAAATGATGAACATAATAATGATTTAAAAGATATTGATGGTGAAAACCTTAATGATATATTTATGTTATATAATAATGAAGTTCAAAAAAGCATCTTGACTATCGTTAAGAAAATAGAGAAATTTATTCCTAATGATCAAAGTTGTAGTTTGGAAGTAGGAGTAACTATAACATATAGTATTTGTAAAAAAAAGTGCAAATTGCTTGATACTACTAATGCCTGTTGTATTTCTCCTGACAAGGATATTATACATCAATGGAAATTAATCCGAATAAAGGTAAATAGTCAAGTTCTTTTTGTGGATTTTATAGCCGGGAGAACATACAAAAATTGGGATGATTATATGGAAAATAATACACTTCCTGAAGGAAATATATTCTACCCAAAATCAGGGGTTTATGATGAAACAAATTCTTTAATACCATTTACAACACCGGCTTCTAGAAAAGGCAAACAAATTTTAAAAAATGTTGACTTATCCATGCGATTAGCAAATGCTGTTGGCGGTGCATCATTAATGTATGGTTTGTTAAATCCAATGACAGCACCTTTAGTGATACTTTCTGCAGCATCAATTGGATCTTCTTCTATATGGGAAGCAGGAAGGGAGATTCAAAATCTTATAGACATTTATCGACACAAACAATGCTTAACAGTATCACAGTTATGTAAAGAATGGGTTAAATTATCTCTTACAATAACTGGTGCAGTAACAGCATTATTACCAGTAAAGGCTATAGCTTCAGTATCTACAGAAGTCAAAGTGATAACTAATGCATCAAGACTGGGAAAGTCTATGGATCTTTTACAAAAAGGTGTTAGTATTACCCGATATTCATTAGAAATCATCCATACCACCCTGAATATCATGGATAAAAAATCTAAACTAAGATGGGAAGATGCCTTATCACTCAGTTTGGATTTGTTCATTATTACAGGATCACTAGCTCCTATAAAAGATATTAAGAATATTATGATTGTAAGTAACTACATGTGTTTAAACAAATTTTAATTTTTTTAAAGTTATATAATTGATTATAAATTATATAGGTAGTAATATTATGTAAATTATCATTATGTTAAATATAAAAAAAATATTTTACAATTTTTTGATAAATTTGAATACTAAATCAAAGTATACCATTTAAAAGTTTTAGTTACAACTTATAATATCAATTCCATTGGTTGAAATAAAAATAGTTAATTTAAAATAAAGTTAATAAAACCAAAATGTTATTTTGAATACTTCCCGTCCATTGCAAGTACCTAAGTCCTACATGCTAATGCGTGATACGCAGAATAATTGTAAATACTTTCCATCAATTATAGGTACTTAGGTACGGAATTTTTCTCTCCATATATCAAAAATTTCATCAGCATATTAGTTGGAATATTTATAAAGAATTTGTTTGAAAAAAAATAATAACTGATTTTATAGTAACTTTGTAAATTAATATTATGGCCTATGAGTATATTCAGGCATTCTAATTTTTAATTGAATTATGTTTTAGGGCATGTCATCAGAAGCCGTGTGGTTACCGATTTTCAAAACCATGGAGACATTTCCTTACTATCTGAGTCAACACTTTTGGAAATCCGTTTACTTTTTCAAAATGCACTTTGACGTTTTCACAGAGCGAGTAGTGATGTTTCGCATGGGTAAACTTACGCTGGACAATCTGTTGTTCGCATGGCAGAAGATCTACCACCTGATGAACGTCTACCAGAAACAATTGGCTGCACTAGACAACAGCGACCTGTTGCGACACGTCGTAGACTGCGTCGTGGCAGATGAGAGAGTGAAGTATGTGCTGCGTAGCCAGCACATTTTAAAGCTGCTGGATGGTTTGCACAGGGAAGCGGTGAAGAGGTCTGGAACCCACCGGGCCCTGGCTAAGTATTGCGTGGATCGCATCATGCAGGAAGCGAAGAAGTTGTCCTCGCTGCACGACGACTCTTTGGTCGAATCAGCCAGGTTGGGTGAGATGCGCTCAAAGGTGAACGAGGAGTTTTGCAAGATGTTCGGGCTGGACAATTGTTCCATGGACCAGTATGTCAAGTGGGCCATTTTCGAGGTTGGCCGTGACCCGGCAGCTCTGTTGGCTGAGTACAAGGAGCACACTTTGCTCCCAGAAAACAAGTATGATGACCAACTGTTGTACAGCGACACACTTAGCACTGACCGGTTGGTCAAGGCGTACTCGTTGTTGGCGCCATGTCATGCGCTGGACATAGAAAGCTGTGTGGGGTTTGCTAACATGCTCTATCCACAGCCGCATGGGTACCGAAATCACGAATTTGTGCAGTCCCCCGATGAAAACATATCCTTTCTCGTGTTATCAGGCGAGATTGTGTTCTTTGGCGTCGAACTGTTCGACGGGGAGCCCAAGATGAATGTCTGCTTTTACAGTTGACCCAGGAGCCTATCAAAAGAGGCTGCTGCAGAACATGCAGTAGTCTTCTAGATGGAGCAAACGCCTAGATTGTTAAGAGCATAGTTTTGCCGGATCAACGTTGTCATCTTCTCGGTTTTCACCTACCAACATCTGTCCAGCAGTTCTCTTTTTGCATCCTCTATGCACTTTTGTTTTAATAATGTTTTGGATCTATTAGTTGATATTTACTCGATTCAAAAACCTAATTATATTTCATAAAAACCTTCTTAATATTGTGTACCTTGATATTGAATTTTAACAATTTTATTTGCACATCACTTACAAATCATAAACATAAATACTTACTATGATTATATTATGATGGTTTATAACCATAACCACATGGATAAATATTAGTATTCAAAAATGTTTTATTATTTTTACTTTTTATCTTGTAAAGTTGTACCTAACAACTAACTTAATGTTTTTTTTTTTTTTTAAACACTTTATTCTTTATTATGTTTATTATTAATAGTTGTCAAAGATAAATTCAAATTTTATAGTTTAATCCTGGATGAATTTATAATACATTATATATTATTATCTCAATTGTTTATATTTTGTTGTTATTGATGTACGATCTATCTATTATTTCATTATTATTACAATATTTACCTTGTGTATAATATTATTTAGCAACAAAACCTAAAGTTACCTATAATAATAATATGAATTATGTCTTCCTGTGTCACTGGTATCATTAAACAAATACTTAATTAAACTGCCTACACAATGTTTAAAAATAGTTGTTATTGTTAATTTTCTGAAAATTGGCAATCGTTATTAATTGAACAAAGTATTAGTTTATCTGATTACAGAATAATTATTATCTTATTTGAAAAATATGAAATTAAATTTAAACAGTAAACTCTAAATATTTTATGCATTATTTAATACATAATTATGTCTTGTACTGCTGTTTAATATGTTTCTACAATAATGACCTTCAATTTCTACAAAATTCATATTTTTTTAATTAAATTGAAGTTTACTTTGCTTTGAATGTTAATTTTACTTCAATATGCATTAATTTTGTTATAGAATTAGAAAAATAAATATTAGATTCCTATCGGAGCGATGCATGTATTTTATTATTTAATATCAACAATTTTAGTATAAATAATATTATTAAAATATTTAATAAAATGTTTGTATAATAGTGACAATTTTATACTTATTTAATTTCTACACTTTAAGATATTTTAGGTTCTGATAAATGTATAGGTTTCACAACAAAAGTATGTGTCTTTCATCACCTTTTGTAACAAAAAAAATGCATACATTTTAAACTTGGACTTCATCGGACAAAATAAAAATAAAAATACTGTTTATGTTATTCATTAAAAGAAATACATATTATATAGGTAAATTCAAATTCACAACAAAATAGAGTACAGTACCTATGGTTTGAAGTTAGGTACAAAAAAATTAAAAATATAATATATTTTGTTCCAATACAGTAACCTGAACATATTTTTTCTATAGTTTTGTAGTACTAGAATATACTTATCACTTGATATTTTATGACACCTCGTCATTGTCCATAAAATTATTTTGGGCTTCACTTCCCCTCAAAGTATCTACTAACTAGATTCACTTTCTTATCAGAAAAGATTGGACTGTTAAAGAAAATCTAATCATTTTTACTGTCCTAAAAGGTGATGACAGACACAAAAAAAACACACGCATTGTAAAATTAATACATTCTCCGCTCAGAATCTATAAAAGTTGAATTTTTCGATTTATCTCTCCCCCCCCCCCGTAAAATCGCCTCTGACTGTGCTGAAACATAAAAAGTTTAATTTTACTTTTTGTACATTCAATAGTTGAGTGCATAAATGCATAATATTATATTAAATTGGATACCAGTGTACCTACCACCTATATTATTGAATTTACAGTCCAGTGAAACCTGCAGTATATGAAAGTCAGTCACAGCCCACGGGACCATAAAGACCATAAGAAATGTTAGTCAAGTACGTTTACGTTCTATCCCGCGGTTCTATCTAAGGGCTCTGCTCATGTCTGTTTAATAAGGGGCAATACTTAGGCAATATAAAAATCACGTGACCTTAGATTTTGTAGTAAATAATATCAACCGAATTATAAATTTGGACGAAATTACATAATAAGAAACCTAGAATAACTATTTTAGTTATTTTATTGTGATTGTATAATATTATTCGTGGGTAGGTACTTGAAACTTCTAAAGTATACTGCTATATATCTATGATAGTATCAGGGTTTGTTGTTGGTGTATAACGCGTTATAAGTAGTAAGTACCTAATGGATATTGACATATTGTGATATGATTAATTTGGAATTCATTATAGGTCAATTTTTTTTAATACCATAGATAAGTATATAATATGCCTTATACCTAGAAGGACATACCGTCTCCGCTCAAAATCATTTTTCTTCTACAATGATATAATATCATTGAATTCAAATGTAATAGCATCCATTAAACAGTGACCCACTAGTAACCTACTGTACAGCAGAGCGACACCCACTGCCCACCTTTTTTTTATTTTATTTTTTTTTTTTTGTGTCTGTCATCACGTTTTAGGACAGTAAAAGTGCTTGGATTTTCTCCAACAGTATCTTTTCTGATAGAAAAGTGAATCTAGTTAGTAGGTACTTTGAGGGGAAGTACCAACTTTGGGGGGTCAAATGTAAAAATTTCCCAGTAGTTTTCACAAGTACCGGGAAAAACAACATAAAAATTAAGGTAAAACGGGAATTTTTACGCAAAATCGGTTTTCCAGAAAATCTATTTTGGTTTTAGGTGTAACTCTAAAACAAATGAACGTATATACATGAAATTTTCACTGGTTGTTTATATTTGCATTTTATATACACGATAATATTTTCAAAATATTTTGATTTATTTTGAACTGTTTAGGGACATTTTCATTTTCCATTTTTTTTTTAGTTTTTTATCTAAAAATATCAACAACATTTTATTTGTTCGTTAAAAATTTAATAGAAGATATATATAGAATATTTACTAGAATATTGTTTTAAAGGTAGATGAAAAATATTAAAAATCTTTAGTCACAATTTTTTTTTATAAGCATTTAAAGTTCAAAAATTGACAAAATATGGAAAAATCACGAAAATTAGCAAATTATTTTGTGTAAATAATTCGTAAAAATTTTTCTTTTTAAATCTAAGATTTGAAAATGTAACACAAGATTCCTTATAAGATTATCTACCTTTATTAAAATAAAAATGTCTATAAGAAAGTCAAACTAAATTCAAATTTTTACAGCATTGGATATTCACTCGATTTCTCATGTAGCAATTTCCTTATTTTGTGTACTTCAAAAACGAATTACTGTAGATACATGAAAATTTCACTGAATGTTCAGATTAGCATTTACAATACACTGTACAATTTTGAAAATATTTTAACTCTGTTTGAGATGTTTACGGACATTTACAGATTTCAATTTTTTTTAGTTTTTTTTTTCTATAAATATTAATAAAGTCTTATCTGTTGGGCCAAAAAGTTTAAAAATTTAATACAAGGCTCCGGATATATTGTTACAATAGCAATTGAAAAATATTAAAAATACATATTATACACAATTTCTTTTTATAAGCATTTAAAGATCGAATTTTGACAACATTTATCAAATTTAGGCAACCTCTTATTCTTTTTATTATATTTTAATTTTAAAGCGAGTTATAGGTATTTTAAAACTGTAAATTATTTCTACATTCTACATCTATATTTATTATATTATATTATTATTATTATATTTATTATTTATACATTGATTTAAATAAAGAGATTAAAAATAATGTACCGTCATCTAAGTACACATCACAGTATTCAGTAGGTAATCATCTCGAATCCGATGTATTTTTTTACATGTTACAATAACGATAATTTCCATCTGCTCAGTAAACATGAATCATATTTTAATTTTGGGTCGAAAGAATATTACAATTATTTTAAACAAAATTTAGTGCTTCTACTAAAATTATTGGTTAACTTGGTAAAATAGTAGTTGACGTTCGTAATACGTCTGCAGGTTTGTAGATTAAATTATTGTGTAGCTTTAAAGCCTTTAACCCACACCACGTGTGTGGTATTTTGATATATAGGTACCTACCTAAACCGAACCGATAATGTGAGCGGTTTTTGGCTATTGACCATTTCGGAGTCGAAATCACAAGTGTACGGTTTTTGTATGCAACCGTACCTACCTGTAAAGTGTTAAGTGTAATGTGTATAATATATTGTATTACAGTTTAGTCCGTATTATGATAGGGTTGAGCCTATTAGAGATTAGGACATTATTTTAAAATACAAATCAACTATGTTAAGGACGTTAAGGTATATTTAGAAGCGCATATTTTATAATTATTTATACACATCGTAGTATCGTACGTTTAACTGTATAAGGGTCACACATGCATGGATACATGGTTAATTAAAATTTAAAAGCACGTTTATAGTTATGTTTAATATACCATAATACCTATGTAATGGGTCATTCAGTCTTAAGGGTGGCCTTGACCGTCAATGCTTCAATATACACGAAATCGCGAGCATCGCGTTGACGCTAACCGTGACGCTGTTGCGAAGTATCCATATTATGACGTAGGTACTTATTACACAGACGTGGATCTAGAAATCTAAATTTTTTTGATTACCTACTATTGTAAAAATAGTAAAAATACAATTTAATATAATATTTTTGTATAACAGATTATAATATAGGAAGTTAGGTAACATTATAATTTATAGATAAAATTTAATTTAACATTTTTATGAATAACCTAAATTTGATAGTTATAGATTTTAAGAAATATGAACTATTTATTATATAAATAAATACATAATATAAAATATTTTCAACGTGGATTCCCCTTAGTCCCCACCCCCTTAGATTTGCGCCTGTGTATTAACGTATGCAAATATTATATTTGAGTTTGAACCACGGTCAGTGTCGGATTGGCACACC